TAGATACAATTTTAGATAATCTTTTATCATTGTTTAACACTTCATAAGTTTATTATTATTTCATTAAAAACATTCGTCGAATTTTACAAATACAAAAATAACTTTTTTAAACTTTAAATTTGTTAATGATCGTCATTTTTAAAATTGACCAATCACAGAAAAAGCCCGCTATGCTCTTTTGAGCATAACTTTCAAAATTTAAAAAAATCTATTCGAGACAAAATTTTTTGTTAGATTAATATACTCCCTTCTTAAAGCTGAATTGAATGGTGGTGGGTTTTCTAAAATCCAGTGTGTGGACCACATAATATTTCAAAGATTTTGACTTTTGAGTATAGATGATCCGTACTGTAGCAAAATTTGCAGTTCGTATAATTTCAGTTCCTACTTCATCAGCTGCTTCAGAAAGGAATTGGTCCACCTTTTCTTTTATACATGACAAAAAATAAATAAATTGACATCTGAATGTGTTTTTAAATTGATATATATTTATTTCAATCACAAATTAAAATGTCCCAAAAAAATGATAACAATGATATAGATATTACAATCATTGATGATGATGTAAATGTGGGAGAAAGTGATAAAAGTGATGATGGTGATGAAAGTGAGGGTGTTGATGAAGATGAAACAATTAGAATAGAAAATATATTTAGTTTAAAAAAAAAATGCACTGCATAAAATGCGCATGAGGAATTTCATGCAACTTCCCATTTCTAATTAGGATAATACTAAAAAATGTGACTTCAAACAGGATCCAAAAGTGAAAGTACAAGAAGTTGGAAATAATTTGTTTTCTGATGAAATAAATTTAATAAATGATGATCACATATATAATACAGAACTTGCAAATTCCAACTTCTATGTTCACACTAGAAAACCTTCAAATCCACAGCCCCTCTATGGTAAACTTTTTTCCTGTCAATGTAAATGAAAAAAAAATATATATCTATAATTTTGGATTTTAAGTATATAATGATCATAATAAATTATTTGTATTATTATTTTATATAATATTAAATTACAACTATTATTTTATATAATATTAAATTACAACTGATTATTTTTTTAAAAAAAATTTGTTTATCAAAAGAAATAGTTTGTCATTGTTGTTCTAGTAATAGTGGTAGTAGCACTTACAATTCATCAAAATCTTTTTTAGTCCAATTATTTAATGAAATTCCAAAATCTAGTGGATTCCATTCTTTATCAATTTCTAAAAAATCTAAAGAATCACTCCATACATATGATTGTGCAGATACCATTCTTTCGGTTTCTTCTGATGTTGCTATGGTTTCAATTTTTTTAAGATAAACATTAACATTTTTTCTATTATATTGCTACAAATAAATATTTATTATTATCATTATTATCATTGTTATTATTATTGCCATTGATACTGATATTGATATTGATATTATAAACTTACATCGCCTTCAAAATAGTCCAATCTTTTCAAACTATCAACAGTTAATCCATCAATCAATATGCCTTCAACCTCGTCATCATCATCATTAGTTTTAAATATTGCAGGATATGTTGCATAGCGTACTCTGACACGTTTATATCCCTAAGTAAATTAATAATAATTAGCTTATTATATTAATTAATTAATTAGTTAACATATACCTTCAAAATGGCAGAATTTGCATTAAAATTTTTGTTAATAATATTTGAATTTGAAGATTCTGTAATAGTTGTTGTTGTTGATTTATTAATCACACGTTCAAAAATTCTTGGAGACATTAATGTACCATAGAAAAAACAACTATAAACTACATCATCATTATCATTATGATTGTTATCAATTGAAGACATGTTGGTGGACTTTTTATATATTATTCTTATGAAGGTCAAAATCACGATTTTTTAAAATCGAAAAAAGATCTGCATAAACTTTAACGGGAAAATATAATGGTTATTAACCTAAAATTTAATTGTTGTGATAGAAATGTTGCTAACTCAAAATCATGATCTTTTGTAATTATCCTTGTTTCTATTGCTTGGCATAGTTTCTAAGCTAAAATTCCTTGCGATAAGTTACGTATATATGTGGTATCAACTCGTTTCCCATATTACTTATTGTTAAACACAAAGAGTCTTTGAACTGCGCCAACCATATATAAAATTGTTAATTGAATGTAATAATGCTCTGGTTAACCCTGATAAAGTTTTTTTTTAATAGCTTTGAATTAAATAATGCAATTTATAAATTGGGCAAACCAAGCAACAAGATGCTCTAATAGATTCTATGAAAAGTGTATTAGTATAGGTTTACAATTACGGAACCTTTTCACTACCTGGACATCTGGAAATGACATACATGGTTGATGATTTTACTCTACAATGTCAAATTCTCTTGCTTTGCCAACTTTTATATTACCTACCATGTCTTTGAAGATGCTATAAATCAACTGAAGGTGGGTTTATACAGCCAGATGGATAAGAGGAAAAAGTATTTGGTTGTTGTTAAAATGTCCAAGTAATTCAAGTAATAACTTTTTTTGGCGAGGTTTATTTAAATGATACTGTATATAATTTCAGGCAATGAATCATTGTAAAATTAAACCAGGTTTGATTGTTGCTTGCTATGGCATAACTATAATGGAAGTTACGCAATGGTTCTTGATCATTATTCAGAAAGGAAATTCAAGAGATTTACAATCATATTAAAAGATAAAATTACAATCTTGATAATTTATGTAACGCGTTATATTGTATACATAAAAAAAGATTTTAATCCATTGTGATTTGTGATTTGCATAGTGGTAATATATTATTGCAAGGGTGTGTGGTTGTTGTTATATTACAGTTTGGATGAACAAAATTAATAGTATAAGCCATCCACCATTAAATGATAAAGCTCATAATCATCATTTAATTTTTGTATATGTATATATGAAGGTGGTTTTACGACCACCAATATTACCTGAAATGCCTGAGGAAATGTTGGGATGTGTAACTATCAAAAAAACCAACTAACTGACTATTGAAGAAGAGCTTTATAAAAAGGAATTTTGAAAATGATAAATGGTAGCGATTCGCAACAAATTAGATAATGAAATTGCTAAATAAAATAAGGCAAACATTATCAATATAATTTAATTACTAATAATTATATCTTTTATTATTAAAAGTTTGAGTTTATCCTTTTTGCTTTAGTTTATACGCAAATTTAAAATTTATAATGAAATGTACGATATTAAAAAGTAATATTATAAAGTTTTTAAAATAAAATAAGATAATATAATTTACAAAAAAAGAATTACTGTAATTAAGAAAAATTAAAATAAAAAATTTAAACTATATAAATATTCTAATAACATTCTAATATATAAATAAATAAATAATCTACAGTATATATAATAAATATAATGATTTAATTTTTAACTTTTGTTATTAATAATGATTTTGTTGTCGTTGAAACGATTCAGTTGATGCATTTATTATTGAATTATTACTGAGAGATTTCCTTGATTCATCATAGATTTCTGATATTACACTATTTAAATAAAAAAAAATAATTAAATAATCAATATTCATGTGGTTAATTAAATAAAATATATTATTAGTTTTTTTGATTTTTTACCTCTCGTTATCATTTCCATCACTATAATTACTATTTCGTTGAGCTAATTTCTTACAATCAGAAGAACAATAATTACTGTAACCCTTAGTAAATCTCTTTTTACATGGATTAATTCTACAATGGTGACAAACTGGAACTATTTTGCCATTTCCATTATTATTTTTATTTGTGGATGGTAAAAATGTTGTGGCAGATGATGATGTTGGTAAAGAGGAATTGGAAGAAGAATTATTAAAGGAAATTGGATTTTTAAAACTTCTAATTAGTGAATTCCTTTTGAAACTTTTAATGCTGCTATTATCATCTTTAATAATTGGTGAAGACGGTGAAGACGATGATTGTAGATTTGATTGTGATGATAATGAAATTGAATGAGTTTTTGTTTTTTGTTTTGATGGTGATGTTGTTGATGGTGTTGATAATGATTTTGATGATTTAAATTTTGACGAGGGAATAGATGATGATGGTGATGATGGTGGTGATGATGAAAATGTTAAAGTTTTAGAAAGATTGCTGTATAAGCTCGTTCTTTTAGAAGGTATTATATTTTCATTTGATTGATTCGTTGGAGTAAATTGAACAATACTAACATCATTGTTAATAGTGTTTATGGTGCTTGTGGTGCTTGTGGTATTAATAGTGCTGGCAGTATTATTAGTGTTTGTAGTATTATGTGATGTATTGCTTGCTAATGATGTAGAATCTGATTTTTCCGTCACATTATGATTACTAATATTGCTCATATTTATATAATCAATATTAGCATTATTACTAAGACTATTATAATTACCATAACTATTATAATAATCATTATTATTATTATAACTATTATAACTACTAATATTAGGATTAGTTGAATCTTGAGATTGGTATTTTGTATAGAAAGAAGGTTGTCGTGAAGATAAAAGTTGTTGCTGCTGCTGTTGCTGCGTATCGATATTATTAACAACAACTCCATTGCTATAATAAATATTATTTGATTCATCACTAGATTGTCGTTGAGCAGAAACAACATTATAAGTTGTAGGTTTTGCTGTTGTGATTACGTTATGATATCGTTGCTGTGCATATTCACCACTAGCATATTCCTCGTTATTAATATTATTATTATACTCTTCAGCAGCACTACCATAATTAGTTGTAGTTGTAGTTGGTGTAACTAAAGGGGAATTTGTAGGGATGGTTGTCGTTAGTATTGAATTTGGATTAGTGACAAGATTAAGTTTAGGTGTAGTAGGAGTAATTGATCTGCTAAAGTTTGTATTATTTTGATTGTTGTTGCTATTGTTGGTAGTGTTAGTGAGGTATGATATATTTGATGAAGAAAATGAAGAAGATAATTGATGCTGTGATCTTTTCTTAACATAGGTTTGATATGATGGAATATTAGATGAAGGTGGTGTTGATGATAAAGATTGTAAAGATTGCGAGGGAGAAGAATTATTCAATTCATTATTATTATTAGTTGAATTAGGAATAAGTGTAGTAGAATTAAGAGGGGTAGTCAAAGTTGCACGTTTTATAAGCGTAGCAGTTTGAATTGTAGCATTTATTCGTTGTGAATGAGCAATCATAATATCTGAACTTGTTACTGGACTTATGGACACTATGTTATTATTATCAGTGATAGGATCGTTTAATTCTTCAGTTGGTGAATAACAATTTTGATTAGATGAAAATTGGTCGGGTGAAGATTGATTAGTAGTAGATGATGCTGGTAATAATAGATTACCATTATTAATAATTTTATCATCTTCTCTTCTCGTTCTTTCTTTATATTTGTTATTTTTTGATAATAAATCATTTTGTTGTTTAATTTTTTCAAGCTCTTCTTTTAATTCTTCAATTTGTCTAATATAAATTAGATTAATACTATCATCACTAATACTACTATTATTAATGTCATCACTATTAGATTCCTCAAACTCTACCATTGGTTGACATTTGTCTAATAAAGTTTCATATTCTTGCTTCAATTTAGAAATTTCCAATTCCAAGGAAATTTTTTCTTTTTCAATATTTTCAAGTTTTTCATCATAGCCAACTTTCAATTTAGAAATTTCCAATTCCAAAGCTGCTTTTTCTTTCTCGACCTTTTCAAGTTTCTCATGATGAAAAACGTTTAATTTAGATATTTCCAATTCCAAAGATGTCTTTTCTTTTCCGACATTCTCATATTTTTCAAATGCTGTTTTTAACTTGGAAATTTCCAATTCCAAATCTGCCTTTTCATTCTCAAGTTTAGCAAATTTGGCTTTATTTTCAATACTTTCTTGTTTCCTAATCAATTCATTATTATTAGATGTGGCTTGTAGTCGTTCAGATTCATTTCTCAATTCTATATTTTTTTGCTTCAATTCATCATGCTTCATTTTCATTAAATCTTGTTTTTCACTTAATACTAACAACTCGTTTGATTTAATATAAAGTTGTGTGGTTGCCTCGTCAACTTTTCCTGTTAGCAACGAGTGTTCTTTCCTGAGACCAGCTAATTCCAAAGACAACTCATCATAATCTTTTGACAGTTTCATAAATTTAGATAAACTATTATCATGTTCCTTCTTAACTTTATCAAGTTCTTTATGTAATTTGTCATTATCAACATTGGAGGATGATGATGATTGTGAATGCGAATTTATTTGATTTGATAATAAATTATTTTTTGATGTTAATTTATTATTTACTAATTTCAAATCAGAAATTTGTTGTTTTAATTCACCACATTCGAATTCCAACTGCTTAATTTGTAATGTTGTGAATTTACTTTGAGTTTTCAATTCGTCACGTTGTTTCTTTAGATTTAAATAATTTTCTAATAGATTTGTCGTGGATACCAATTCGCCACTACCATCACCACCACCATTATTATTATTCTCGTTATTTATTATTGGAGATAACGATGGTGATGCTTTTGTATTATTGTCAATGTCGGGAGAATTTGGCGAAGAGCTTACAGATGTGGAAGCAGTAGTAATCGAAGAAGTAATGTCATCATCTTCGCTGAAATTGAATTCACTGCCGTCAGATGAAGGGTTATTATTATTATTATTATTATTATTATTATTATTATTATTATTATTATTACTATTACTAGATACAGTGTTGGAGAAATTATCTCCGCTGCCATCACCAATCTCGCCAACTTCGCCACTACTACCACTATCATTGCCACTAATAATTATACCATGTAATTTATCATTTTCCAGAGTTAATTTAGTGTTTTTATTTTGCAAAAGATCTTTTTGAAATTTGAGATTAACATATTCCGACTCTAGATCGTTTAATTTCTTGGCCAACAATTCGTTATTTTTCTTGATTAATTGAATTTCCTTGACCAATAAATCATTTTTAGAATTCAATTCGTCACGTTTACTAATAAAATAATTCAATTCGTCTTGCAATCTTCCCATCCCGGCAGCCAGGTTATCATTTTGAATTTTTACTTGATGGTTTTGCAATTTGACAGATTCAGAATCTGACTTCAAGTCATCAGAGTCTGACTTCAAATTGTTGTAATCTAAACTTAATTTTTCATAATCTTTGCTTAACTTGTCGTAATTTTCAATTTTTTGTTGGGATTGATTTAAATACAATTCCAATAATTGATATTTTCCACGTATATCGTCACGTTCTTTATTTATCGTGGAGATGATTGACTGGAGCTGTTTTATTGCATTGTTTAAATTTTCATTTTGCGACTTCAGAATCTCGTGTTCTTTAAAAAACTGATCGAATTGCTTTATTTGATCCTTGAGATTGGAAATTTGAGATTCCAAAGCGAAATTATGATATTTGCAATCATCACGTTCCCATAATATAGATTTCAATTGTTCAGATTGATAATTAATATGTGATTCCAAATCATTAATTTTTTTGGTCGTTACTAGTGATAACGAGTGACCATCGTTTATCGATGTGGGCGAAATGATAGTTGACGTTATTGATGATGATGATCTTGATGACGATAAGGATAGATTAGACGATGAGATTGCATCAGATAAAGCAGAGGATGATGGTCGTGGTGAAGATGGTGTATATAAGAAATTATTAAAAGCAGTGGCATTTATGGAGTTTGTGGTTGACATTAGAGTCGTGGTTGATTGAGGTGACATTGTAGTTGTCATTAGAGAGGTCGCAGGGGTATTTGAGGATAAAGAGATCCTTGCTGATGTTGATACAGAAGATGCAGTTGTTGATGTCGACGAAGTAGAAGATGTAGAATTTCTAATTTTATTACCATTCGTCGAAGGATGTGATTGAGAAGAAATCGGCGTAGAAGAATAATAATTATTGGAAAGATTGTTACTGTGATTATTGATTAAATGATGATGAGGTTTACTTGAATTGGGATGATTTGAATTAACTAGTGAGGAACTGTTTTGGGTAGATGATGATGGATAATGATAATACGGTTCAATCTCGATTATGAAATCACCGCATCTTTGAATATTATGATGATGGTGATTGAATGAATCACCAGTACTACGTTGCATATTGACCAAAGCTCCGTAATCGCTTGTTGTTATTGTACGATCTGGCAATCTTGGTAATTGTGGTATTTTATTATTGTCTTTGTTGATTATAAGGTGAGTTGGATGTGTAGTGAAGATGAAGACGAAGATTAGGAGAGATGATTATGTGATGAAGATAAGAGAGGGATAATTAGTTTAATAATGAAAGATGCAGTTGATGATGAAATTAAATTAATAATTTGAATTTACCTGTGCTGTTGTTATTATTAATTTTATTAGAGTTACTAATGCTTTTAGAGTTATTATTGTTATTATAAATATTATATTTATTATACGACATTGTTTTTTTTTCTATAATTTTTATAAATTATAAAAAATTTATTATATTTTAAAAAAAAATTTTTACAAATTTCATTCGTCTCTATGTTATTAATTATTAATTATGATTAATATGTATGGTATGTATGAAGACAGTAAGTATGATGATGATAAATTGGATAAACAAAAAAAAAAATCTATAATTTTCTCTAATTTCTCTATGGATTTAAAAGAAATTTTAAAAATTTTTTTTAAAGAGAAGGAAACTTTCTTTGATTTTATTTATTATAAATAATAAATACCAATTTAAAAAAAAGTAAATAAATAAATATGTACTAAATTAAACAAATAAATGTAACAAATAAAAATAATACCATCATTAAAAATTTATTTAAATAGAATTGATTAAAACTGTTGAATAAAAAAATGATTACTTTAATTAATTTAAAAAAATAAATAGATTTAATTTTAAATTTAAATTTAAAAATAAAATTTCTTTGTATTCAACATTCATTGAGAGAAAGATGTGTCATGATGTAAAAATAATAAATATATTTATTTTTACTTATAAAATTAATATTTGTTTATATTGTCTATTATATATTTATCCCAATCAATAATTTATTTTTGACGTCTAAACTATAAATTACCTATTTTAAAACTTGCTATCATATCTTCTATATATACAATATCATCACTATCACAGATTACTTTTAATTGAGCTTTTTCTAATTTAACTATTTTGTGAAATAAAAAAAATAAATTTTCCAAAAAAAAGTTTATATAATAACTAAAAGTAAACAATAAATCTATAATCGCTAATACTGAAACATAAATTTCCATTATTCATTATCGCGCATCGTATCCTCCATTCATACATTCATCCGTCCGTTCATTCATACATCTATTCATCCGTTTCATACTGAAAAGCTACAGAATAATTTCAGGGTTCAAATTTTAGTAACCAGAAATTTATTATCATAATACAAAATGAACCTGAACGATCTGCCTATAGCGCGGTCAAACATGTCATAAAGGCAAAATAAGTGCACGGTAAATATTTCAAATCCGAAACATTTCCTTCAACAGGAAAAATGATTTTTATTCCAGCATAAAAATTGTTATAAATTTTTTGCTCTAAATCCCCAAAATAGACGGGTCGTCTTTTCGAAGCATTTGCTAGTACTTATTGGTCCACAATATATTACTAGCCGAGATATTAATATTAATATCTGTTCTGGTTTAGAGTGAAATTTGCGGGCCTTTTTTTTTGAAGCTTGGCTGAACAACCACATCCACAATTTACCTACTTTAAATTTAGGGTTGTATTTGTCGTAAAGGTCTCAAAAGTAGTCTTTTTTTTAGAGGATCGAAAGACCAGCCTTTAAATGTGGTCTCTGAATTGGTTAAGAAGACTGTTTAAAAAGATTAAGAAGGTCAGTTTAAAAATGCCGGTTAAAGACTATTTGGTTCTGGATATTTGTAATTAAAATTATAATAAGCAAAGTTTATTTATTTATTAACCGTTGTATACATATTGTGTAATAATGTAGTAATAGTTATTATATGAATAAAAAAACCGGGATTAATCACAAGCACAAAAACCTTAAATTTTAATAAAGATTACCAATTTTGAATGGGTCACGTGTATAAGAATTTTATTATTGGTTATTATTGTAGTACATGATTTACACAAATATTAAGAGTATTGTGATTACTATGACTCGACTCATTACATGGCTACTTCTTAGTGCCTACATCTGGACCTCTCTTCCAATATACTAACTATATTGTTAAATGTCATTTGCTTAGTGGCTTTCGTTGTATATAATTATCTTCTAGATCACTCGTGGCGCAATTTTTTCTAGATATAGAGTTTTATCATTACGCTTTTAACTTTGTGAATAGCACTGACCGGAACCTGAAAGGTCATCTCCAATTTAATTCTGATAGCAAACAAGAAATTTTAAAGTGATAAAAAAATACAGAGAAATTATATAATAAGAAGATTTTTGAAAATTTGGATCAAGAGTTTTGTATTCACTTTCAAAATTAAAAATTAACGTTAATTCGATCGATTTATCTAAACAGCATGCACAAGCCCTTGAATCTTCATAAATTCTGAGGCTGGTTACATATATATATATATATGAATCTTTTTTGTGTTATGATGGAGCATTCGAATAATTGACATAAATTATAGGAATAATACCATTGTAATGCATGAATTGCATGTTACTCTTATCAGTTAATCAGTTATTGATACTTTTGATTACATTACTAGGATCAAATTGTGTTGAACGTAAATTTTAGAATATAATAATGCAAGTATTTTTTCTACTTGTTAAATTGTTTATAATGATAGACATGATGAACAATTTATAGACTACTTTAATTTTACAACAGGAATTAAATAGTTGAACTTATGCATGTTTATAACAATTCCGTCCGATAAGTGTTGCAATTATTATCTAATCAGAGTGGCTGTTGTAAATTTGGAAGATGATAGAAGATTATATCGTTATACAAAAATCTTAATACCAAATTCTGACTAAGAAAAAAACCATTGCTAGTATGGTTAAAAAGAGGGTAAAAAGTAAAGGATAATGTGAAAAAAGTAACTTTGAGTCTATATGCAGCTTTTCATGCAAAACATTGCTTAGAAAAACTATACAGTGTAGATCTTGGTTTTTTTTATTTATATATAAAATAGAATATAATAATGGAACATTCTATTCTTAATAAATAATTTAACTAGTAGGCAATAGTGATATTTCTCCGATTATTTTAAACTTCTTAAATGGATTAATTATTATAGTAACTATCTTGTTACCTATTTGAACTTATAAAAGCCTAATTTACTATATATTGTGTAACCTGACAATTTCGGGCTTAGAGAACAAGCCATATCGCGGTGTAAAATAAAAAACCATTACGAGATAAATAATCCAGATATTTTTCTGGTGTTCCAATTGTAAATATTTGAATTTTTTTATTTCACTTAATAAGAACCATCATAGAGGGTCAGATTAGGATGAGTTCGAAAGCCCTACGATGCGTCCGAATACTCAATGATCGGTGTCAGGATTTTCTTCTTTAGTTGCTCATTAATAAGAAAAAATAGGACATCGGAAGTCCGTACAACAACAACATTACATTCCCTACATTGAAAAAAAAAAAAAAATGCTACAAGAATGTTTCTGATTTTTCGTTGGATTATATGAACTGTGTAATTCAATATGTATGCATGGATTTTGAAGTTGACAATATTGAACTAATTCTGTCGATAAAACTAGCAGTTTGAATAGTTCACGTTATGTGAATTACAAAATTAAAAAATTGATCAACAAATTCTAAAATAATTGATCATGTGTTTTGAACGATCATCGCCAGGTTCATTTTCATCATGAACAATAACAATGATAACGGTGGTATGTTTTATTACGTGTACTGAAAGATTATTTTTTTTTTCAGAATATTAAATATCATCAATAATTTTAATTCCAATTTAAAAATAAAAGAAGAAATGGGTATTTGCTCCAGATGTGGTGACTGTGTCGAGAAAAATCTAATGGATCAACATATTAATAATACGTGCTCCTCATACATCTTTGACATGTCATCATCGCCTTCTTCTAAAATCTCGAATTTTCCAAAAGTAAGAATAAATAAAAGAATAATTAAAATTTTTAATTAATTGTCATAAATAATAATGATTATTTGCTAAATCCAAAAAGCGTAAATTTACATTCGATGATTGGAAGATTCCTTCTAAATCACAATCACCATCGCAATCACCTAAATCATCACCATTTTTATCATCATCATCATCATCAAGTAGTAATAGAAATAGTTTGAGAAGATTCAATACATCTTTTAACAAATCTTTCTCTTCCTCATCCTCTCCCAAAATTAGTTCCAATGACAATAAGGCAAAGACTTTTTTTCAAGGGTCACAATCTCCTAATCAAATTAAAAAAATAAAACCAAACAACTCAAAAGTTGAATTTCTTCCATTATCTTCTAAAGGTAAAGAATAATCTATTTTAAAGTTTGCTTATAAATAATATTGAAAATTAATAATAAAATTTTTACATCTAGTTAGACCAAGTAACCTTGATTCATTTGTGGGTCAAGATGAGTTGATCGGCGAGAAAGGAATTCTAAGAAATTTAATATTACTAGACAAAATACCGTAAGATTTCTTAAAATAGGATTTTTTCTTTCTAATAATTTTTTAAATTCAATTTTTATTTTTATTTTTATTTTTATTTTTCTAGATCAATGATATTATTTGGAAATAGTGGAACTGGAAAAACCACACTTGCAAGAGTATTACAATTATTATTATAATTTGTTATAGTAAAATCCTTTAGTTATATTGTTATGTTCACATTTATTTGTTTGACTAGATAATTGCAAATACGACAAATTCTGTATTTAAAGAATTTTCTGGAACTTCTCATGGTATTTTGTTAAAATCTTTTCTCAAACATATATCATTTCCTAAATGTTTATTATATTAATTAAATATTATATTCTTTATTATTTAAAGGTTCTGTTGATATAAAGTAAAGTAAATTGTTTAAAATATTAAATTACATTAAAAGTTTCTCTCATTGAAACCTAAATTATATAATAATAGAAAAGCTTTTGATGAGGCAAAGAATGAGCAAAAGTTGTTAGGACATCGTACTATAATATTTTTGGATGAAATGTAATATTCAATTTATTTATTTATTAGAAATTGAAAGAATTTACTATACTTTGATTTAAATTTATTTAATCTGTTATAGTCATCGATTTAATAAGGCTCAACAAGATTTATTTCGTAAATTTTTAATAATCAAACTATTCATTTTCATCTCATATTATATCTTTATCTAATCCATGCGTATTTTCTTTCTTCTAGTTCCTTATATAGAATCTGGTTCGGTCACTTTAATAGGTAATCATAATAATAATATAATAGTATAACAGTATAATAGTATTCCATTTATTTATTTATATACATACTATCTAGGAGCCACAACTGAAAATCCTTCATTTAAGATAAATTCCGCACTTCTCAGTCGGTGTATGGTTTTTGCATTAAAAAAATTATCTACTGATGAAATACTTATCATTTTGAAAAAAGCTTTGGCACAAGAAATTTCTCCACAAAAAATTGTTAATGTTGATGATGTTGACTCAGTTATGGATGATGATGTTGAACAATTCGAGAATATTATAGATGATGAATCATTGAAGTTTTTAGCAGTAATTAGTGATGGTGATGGTAATTAATTAAAAATTATAAGCTATTATATACATAAAAATAATTAGCAATAAAAAATTATTAATTAGTTATTAATTGGTTTTGAAGCTAGAGTTGCGCTTAATGCACTTGAGGTTGCTTTAAATATGAGTAAACGTGAACCAAGAAGAACAAAATTAAACAAAGATGATATTAAAAAAATATTTCAAAAATCTCATTTATTATATGATAAAGACGGCGAAGAACACTATAATATAATTAGTGCACTTCATAAAAGTATGCGTGGAAGGTAAATATCAAACTTCTTTTCGGTGAAATAAAATATTTTAATGAATATATTTATCATTGTTTAATATATATATATATATATATATTTGTAGCGATCCTAATGGTATGATGAAATTTTTCCTAAAAAAATTATGTTTTAAATTTATCATTAAAACAAACAAAAAATATTCAATTACATACATATCTTTGTGTTTTATTTAGCAAGTTTATATTGGTTGGGCCGTATGTTAACAGCAGGAGAAGATCCATTGTATATAGGTAATATATGAATTAAATAATAAAGTCAAGGTAATAGATGTACTAATTATTTTTCATCCTTTTAATTAGCTAGAAGATTAATCGTATTTGCTTCTGAAGACGTTGGACTTGCGGATAACAGTGCTTTACCTTTGGTCATTATTATTTAATTAATAATTTATTTTTCATTTTTATTATTACAATAATTATATTTATATATATATATACACGCACACATATACACAGGCTATCTCAACTTATCAAGCATGTCAATTCATAGGAATGCCAGAATGTGAAATAAATTTGGCTCATTGCGTTGTTTATTTGGCTGAAGCAAAGAAAAGCATTAGATCTTATAAGGCTTATAAACTTGTAAGTATCGATTATTATCAACCATTAAAAATTATAATATTTATATTATCTATATATATATATATATATATATATATATAGGCAAAACAAACTATTAAAGAAGAATATGCTTATCCTGTTCCATTACATATTAGAAATGCACCTACTGGACTAATGAAGGTAAATTATTTATAACACTTTATTTAATTTAATAAAATCAATAAGCATTTTAATTTATTATTGTACTGTCATTGTTGTTTATTTTATATTTTATTTAAGGAACTTGGATATGGGGAAGGTTATAAATATAATCCTGGCTATGAAGGTCCTGTTTATCAAGAATATCTTCCGCTAGAATTAAAAAATAAAGTATTTCTTGATGTTGAGGGAGAAAAAAAAGTTGATCGCTCATTTGTGCATGAAGAGATGGATTAGTGGGATTAATGAGTACATGGATGGATTAATAAATGAATGAAAGATGAATGGATTAATGAATCAGTGGATGTATGGATGGGTGGATGTATGGATAAATGAATTTCATGTAAATTCTTCAAATCAATTTTTTTCGTTTCAATTAGTAGAATTATAATTTGGCATAACAAATCACCAAGTTTTGATTTGTATGCAGTTTTGCTCCTTGTTAATATGTTTATATTAAAAAATTTTGTAAATAATTATAATAATTTTAAACAGTTAAAAATATTTTTGTCTCCACCATCCCATCTCCATATCAGCTAGCTATAAAATGCATTATCGTAAATAAATTTGTTTGGTCCAAGTCATTTGATAAAAGGTTTAAAATTCAACTTGCTGCTGCTAAATTGATTCATTCGGTAGATGATAATCCTCGATAGTAACTATAATTCTTTGGGTATGTACAAGTAAATTCTGTTAACTATTTTGATATATTAATTTTTGGTCTATTTTCCAAATCACGATCCCATGGAATTCTGGAGTATCTATCATAGAATGGTAAAAATTAAATTAGTTGCATGACGGTGCATAATAATCAATTGCTTCAATTGGTTAGCTTCATATAATTGAACAATTCATCGAACCCCATCAAGTGTTGAATATTTATCAAAACCACTTGGATATTCTGAGGATCATAAAAATAATGAATGGGAGGAACCATTGATGCTGAAATATTATGCAATAGTTACAGTAATGGTAGAAGCAATGAATGAATGGTAAGAGAATCTTAATAGAATTGTTGTGCTTGATATATTTGGTGATGATTTACACTAAACTTAATGCTATATATTTAATTTTTTCATGATGTTGATAAAATCAGTGATCTGCATAAAAAAATTTGTGCACATATGATCAAATTCGTAAAGCTACAAATTATGGAAATAAATAGTTCTTTTGAATTAATCTTCCTATTTTTTTTTTATCTTCTCAATATTCACATGCTTTCTCAAAATTAAAGTCTTCAATTTCAGGTCCATTTAATAAAATCATTAAATGATTATTATCAAGATTCATTTTGTTCCTTAATTTATTCTTTAATCAACTTTGTTTGGGAAAATATTCTTTCTACATTAGCATTTGAAAGAGGTATAATTAGAGATATTTTAATTAGGAGGGATATGTTTGAGTCAAAAATAAATTTACAAAACATATTTTTATTTGCACATAAAATGATCCACATTTTTAATGTAACATACTGCGTCCGCACCCTGAATTTCTAACACTGATCTCTAGCATCTTATAAGCACGTGTTGCACGAAGATTGAGGCCTAACTTTCAAAATGTTTCACGTTATTTACATTACTGGCCTGAAAATACTCATTCATCAAGGAAAAATACATCAAGAAGTGGATATTCCCTTTCATACTGTTGAACATAATTTCAAAACGCCTAAAGAATGAGTACTATTGAATATAAATAGGATAATTGCTGTCTGATCCAATACTTTTTTTCAAAATAATCGGATTTCTTTTATTTTTAATTGACAAATTTATAGAAAATATAGAAGCATGCAATTTTATATGCGAAATCTTTAGAACTAAAGTTACAATCTAATATAATTGTTTTTGTATAATTATTATGTACATTTTTGCGTTAGAATAATAATTAAAAAAATTTCATGCCAAACTTTTTCTGTCAAAAATTTTGTGAAGGTTTTAAAAAAAGAGATGAATTAGCTTTACAAAAAATTGGCAATATAAATTTTTTTATGTTAAACGAATCTGAACCTATTTAATTATGCTTTGCAATTGCGCAAACTCGCCTTCACCTATCTTTCAATATTTGTTGAGATGCAACTTCAGGGGAATTTGAATAATTTTTTGATGCAGACCATATTGTATAACAAAAAATAATTTATATTGCAATCATTGTGTGGCGTTACATGAATAATAAAAACATTACTTTATATAGCAAAGGTGCATTCTAAGGGTGCAAACATATGAACACATGAGAGTTACAACTATACATGTTATCAAAATTAATTTGGCTTTGACTCAATTCCCAAAATCTCAATTTTTTTTATATATATATGATTTTCATATAACCTAATTAATTGCATCAAAAAGTCACCTGCTTGAGTCAAGTGATCAACCCATTTCTACTACATAACACTAATATATACTATATGACGTACAGCAAGTGCCATACGCCATAGGATCACCAAATAGGGTTAATTGATTGATCTAACTCAGGTTGGTACTACTTAAAAAAGAAAAGATAAACAGTTACAGCATACAATAAATCTTTCCATGTAGTTTGAATACATTTAATGCATTCAATTGGCCAATAAGGTGTTAAAATTTTAATCATAAACTTTTTATCCATTGATAAAATTTTTTTTTAACTTTCGAGTATAGATGATCTGCACTGTAAATAATTATATTGAAATGATTTGAAAATGTAATTATTGTTATAAGGATATTTTTTACAAATGTTTAGAGCCAGAAATCAACATTTCTTGAAGAGATGGTAAAGACTACCCTGATTACTTCTAGAAAGTAGATGATAGGGTTTACTACGTTGAATTTTTGACATATCAAAAAGATGCCTCATAGTTGGTCTTCCATGTGGACAATTCTTGTTATTATTATAGTAATAATAAAAATTACATAAGATTTTAATTCTAATTTGTTGAATTTAAATAAATAATTTTGTAATTACCCAAGGTTGTTCAATTTCTCCCATATGTTTCACGATCTATTTATTTATTTAATAAGTGATTAATATTAATAAATAAATTATTTTAGAAATAATAATTATCCACCCCAAATCAGTACTGAATTAAATTCCAAACCTTTGTCATTTGTTGTTTGTTGAGAGCATCACCTACCATGACAGATTTATGACAGGCTTTGGATGCAAACATTTTTTTTGCTTTAGAACATCTAACTAATGTTCTTGGATTTTCAGACAGCATATGAATCAATTCTTCTAAATCTATTCAAAAACAAAACAGCAATATTATTATTATAAATAATTGATTAGCATTATTATTCCATAATATTAATAGTAAATATTGTTATACCTTTAATTTCAAAGATCATATTCTTAATGATAGGTTGTGCTATTAACTTCACTCTATTAGTTGGGGGTGCATCTAAATCAACTAGTAATTCAAATCCATTAGATTGCAATATATCAAGATTTTCAGTTGCTGTTAATTCTTCAGTTGCTGTCAGTTGAAGTGCTCTTGGACTATTCAAATCAGTAGATGATTAATATTAATAATAGTTAACATTAACCAAAAGAATTAATCAGAAGAGAACCTTATTAGTGGCTGTGTTTGTATTTTAGTGTGAAGTTGTAAAGTTTCAAAATTATATTTTTCATCAGATGCATGCTGATCAATAATAAATAAATCAAAGCCATCATCAGAATTCCAAAGTTTAGTAATAATAAATCCACGGTTAAATTGTCCAATTATTTCCATCAATGAAAAATCCTTTTTTGTTATAACTTTTTCCAATACTTGTTCAGCAATTACATTATCTCGAACAAGAATTCCTGCATGTTTTAAATAATTTTCATTATCAGTTTTGGATTGATTAATAATTTCTTTTGACTCATAATTTGAAATAAAATTTTTCTTTTTTTTTCAATTTGAATGTTTCAAAATTAAAGTCAACATTAATCTTTGGTCTATTAGAACTATTTCTAACATTTTGTAGATTAGAATCACATCTGATAATATTTTGTAAATCAGAATCAACATCTTTGTTTTGATCCAAGTCAATGGTATTAGATGTTGTTTCATCATTGACATCTAGTGAATAATCTATTAAAAAATTTTGTTGAACATTATCATCATCATCATCATCCAGATTTATCAAAGATGCTTCCTCCAAACACTTTTCAAATATACCCCCATCATCATCCTCATCATCTTTTGGTTTTTTATCCATAGAATTATTTGAAAATCTTTCAGTAAAAAAGGTTGAACAATTTTTGTTGCTAAATATTGATTCTTTGGTAATTTTTTGCTTTTTTGGTACATGTAGCTGAACTAATTTATTATCATTATCACCATCATCATCTTCACTAGTCAACATGATTGGATTATTATTACTCATATTATTACTATCAATTTTAACAAAATTTAACATAGACATTTGTTCACTATTAAAGTTCCTACTACTCCTTTTTGTATGTAAAGTAGCCTTTTCTACAATCCCACTTATATTATTCTCTGTATCATCAATATTGGTAATAACAATATCATCACCATCATCATTAT